AAGGTAAGATTTTTTAAAAAAAAACACTTAATAAGCTTAAAAAATTTATAAAAAGCTAAGTAAAAAACTATTTAATTATAAAACTTTAGCTAACTAAATTAAAGTAAAAATAAGTTTTATAAACTTATTTAAAGTAAGCTTAAAAGCTTTTATAGCTATAAAATATATAGCTACTTAAATTATAGTTAAAGTAAAATAAAAAGCTAAATATATAGCTTAAACAAAAAAATTAACTTTTATAGTATTAAGCTTAATATTAAGCTTTATAATTATTTATTTAGCTATTGCTATATAAAAGGTTATACTAATACTTTATTATTTAAAAAATAGCTAGACGCTAATTAGATTTTTTTTTATAAGCTTTGCTTAAATAAATTAAAGATTTAATATTAATATTATATTAAAAAAAAAGTTAAAAAGCTAAAGCTAAAACTTTTAAATTTATTAAATTTAAAATTTAAAAAACTTTTTATAAAGACTTTAAGTAAAGATTTTATTAAAGTTTTTTATTATATTATTATAACTTTAAAAGTTATAAATATATAAAAAACTATATAAGCTATTATAAAGACTTTAGCTTTTAAAAATTAAAAAGATAATAAAGTTTACGTTATTTTAAGTTTTTTTTAGCTATAAAATATAGCAGTAGTAATTAATATTTAATTAAGCACGCTAAGTATTAGCAATATAAAGTAAAAAGATTTAAAAGTTTGCATTAAAGGACTTATTATAATTTAATTAACAAGTTATAAACTATTTTTTATACTAAATAAACCTTTTATTAAACTAGATCTTAAAGTAGCTTTTAAAAAAATAAAAGAAGCTTTTAATTTAAACAAGTTAGCAAATAATTTAAAAAATAATAGCTTAAACAATTTTAGCAATTTAAAAAACTAAGCTTTTATTTATAATTATATTATTAAATTATTTTAAACTACTAAGTTATTAAATTTAAAAAAGCTATTATAAGTATTAAATTAAAATTTAATATAAACTTGTTTATAATGCTATTTAAAATTTATTATATAGTTAACTTTTTAAAATTAGTTTATTACTTTTAAGATTAAATAGTATATTATGCTTTAAAGCTTAGTACTTATAATATAAGCAAGCAAGCTTATAAAACGCTAGGTTTTATATTATTTATTTTTACTATAAAGAACCTAGTGCTAAGTTAATATATTACTTTTAAAAAGAAAGCTATAAATAAAAAGTTTATAAGTTAAAAAATTATAAAATTTATAAATTAGAAAATTAGAAAATTTGCAAATTAAAAAATTATAGTACTTTTTTTAACAAAGCGCAAACTAATTAAATAATTTATTATAACCTTTAAAAAAAATTTTTTAACTATTATAAAAGCTTAGTTTAATAAATTAAGTATATATTTAGGTTTTTTAATACTAAATAATTTTAAAAAAAACGTTATAAAAACTTTTTATACTTATTAAAATCTTAATATATTAAGTATTATAAAAATGCAAGCTATAAATTTATATAAGTATTGTATTAAGCTAAAGCTTAAAGTAAAGCTATAAAATAAATTTAAATAAAAGGTTTAAACTTAGCTATAAAAGTACTAAATAAATAAATTAGTTTAAAAAAGTATAAATTTAAAAATATATAAAAGTATAATTGTTGCTAATAAAAAGCTGTTATTATAAAAGTTATAACTTGTTATAATAATAAAAAACCGCGTTTTTTTATATTTTAACTTATAAAAAAAGTAAAAAATTATGTTTAACTATTAAAACGTAAATAAAAATATGCTAAATATTAAAATACTTTTAATAGCAAATATATATAACTATTTTAACAACCTTAGTGCTAAAAGCTTTTTTAAATTTAACTTAAAGCACGCGTTTTAAATTATATTAATTTACTTACTTTATTATTATATGTTTATATTTTTAATACTAAGATTTTTTTAAATATAACTAACTAAAATGCTATAAAAATTATAAACTTTAGCTTTTTTAATAATAAAGCTTATAAAAATAGCTTTAAAACTAATTTTAAAGCTAAATTTAAAAAACTTATTACTATAGCTTTAAGCTTTTAAAAAGCTAGTACCTATATTTTTTTTATATAGATAATATTTTTTTATTATATTTTAACTTTTATAGTTAATAAAAATTTATTAAGCACTGTTTTTTTTAAAGATTTTCTAAGCAATACTAAAATTATCTTTTAAAAAGGTATATTTAAAGTTTACTAAAATAGTTGCTTTAAAAGTACTTTATTAAATTTATAAAATTTTGCAAGTAATTTTTAAACAAAGTAAAAAAATTAAATTATAGCTAGTACTTAAAAATTAAACTATTATTAAATTGTTTTTAAAAACTATTAAATATACTTATAAGTAAATAAAAAACTATTTTAAAATAGCTAAACTTTTAACTAAACTAACTAGGTTAGTTATATAAAAATAAAAGCTAATAAAAGCTTTATTTTTTAATTTTTTAAAAATAAAAGCATTTATAATAGTTAAAATATATAAGCATATATTTAATTAAGCTATAAATAAATTTATAAATGTTTTAAGGTTTAAAAAAAGATTTTTAATTACTTAGATTTAAAAAAGCATTAATATACTACTAGTATATAATAGCTTTTTATTTATAAAAACTTAATAAAATTATAGCACTTATAAATAAAAGCTTTTAATTATTATAAAGCTTTTTTGTTACTATATTTAGTACTTTATTATATTGCTTAAAGTTTAATTAATTATTTATATAAACTATAAGCTTTTAATATTTTTTATTAATTTAATATATTATAAAAAAATATATGCTTAGTAAGCTAATAAGCTTTAATAACTAAATATTTAAATTAAGTATATTAAAAAAAAAACAAGGTAGCTAATACCTTATTTAAAATAATTTTTAAAATAAAAAATTATAATAATGTTAGTATGCTAAAAAAGCTTAAAAAACAAATTATATTAAAAAGTAAATTTAAAAAAATAAAAAAAGAAAATATAAAAACGTACTTTTAAAGCTTTTAAAAGCTAAAACTAAAGCTTTTGTTTAAGCTAAGTATAACACAACTGCTTAATTAAATAAAATTAAATTATATGCTTGCTTTTTATAAAAATAAACTAATAAGTTAAGTAAATTTTAAAATTTGCTAAACTAAAGGTTACTTAAATAGCTAAATAAAAAAGCTTAAATTAATATAATTAGCAGTTTTTTAATTAAAATATTATATTATTATAATAATAAGTTAGCTAAGTATAAATTTAAACTTTAATATATTAATATTTATAAGCTTTTTAAAAAAAGGTATTATAATTTTTTAGATTGTTTAAGCAAAAAGATTTTTTTGTAAAAATCTTAAAGCTACTAAATATATAATAACTTGCTTAAATGTTGCTAAAAAAGTATATAGTAGCGTTGTTTATATTAAAATAAAGTTGCTTAAGCTTTATAACTAGCTTATAATTAAGCTAGTTATTTTTTTATTTAAATAATAATAAATAAATTAAATAAGTTAGTATATTAGTTTATTATAATAAAAAATATATAAGATTATTATGCTAAATATATAAAATATACTAAATTTAGTTTAGCAGTTTTAAAAGCTTTTAACTTTTTAGTTACTATAAAAGTACTATTTTATATAATTATTATAAACTTTATTAAACTGTTTTTTAAAACTAAAAATAAAAACTAATATTATTTTTTAATAGTTAACTATTTTAGTTATTTTATTTAAGCATTTAAAATAAAAAACTGCTTAAAACTTATAGCTAAAAAAAAGTAACTAAGTAAATATATTTTATAAGTATAACACTATTAAATATTTATACTAATTTTAAAAAAGCATTTATTTTAAAAATCTTTAATTATATACTAAAAAGATTTAGTACTAAGCTAATAAATGTACTATTAAGATTTTATAAGTTAGTTAGCATAATTAAAGCTTATATAAAAATCTTTTAACAAATTTTTAAAAAGCTTATACTTAAAAGCAAAAAATTTAATAATTAAAACTAATATTTGCTAATAATAGTTGCTTAATATAATAAACGCTTTATAATATTTATTAAACTATTTTTTATAAAAATACTATATAAAATTTTATTTTGTAAACTTTTAAAAATATAATTTTTATTAGTAAATTAAAATATTTTAAAAAGCTTACTAGCTTTTAAAAAGTTTATTTTGCTATTTAAAAATAACTTTTTGCAATTTTAAAACTACTTAATAATAAGCTTTTAAGCTTTGCATAAAATTTTTTTAAAAAAAATAAATATTAAACAAAAGCTTTAACAGTATTAATATAATATAAAAATCTTTAAGATTTAAGTAAATAACTTTATTATACTATTATAAAACAGCAAACTTTAAAAATTAACTTTTTACTAAAAAAGTTTATTTATTATTAAACAATACTTTAAAAAACTATTATTTTATTTAGTAAATTTAAATAGCTTGCTAATAGCTTTATATAATTATTATAAAAATTTGCTAAAAATCTTTAAGCTAAAAAAAAGCTACTTATATACTAAAAAAAATCTTTTATTGCTAATAAAAGCTAGCATTTAGCTAAAATAATTTAGTAGCTTTATTTTTTTTTATTATTATAGCAAAAGCGCTGCACTTTTTTTATTTTATTTTATTAGCTTAGTAAAAGTATAAATTTAGCAAAAAAGTAGGTCTAATCTTTTAAACCTACTTTAATAAAAAAAAAAGGCAGTTACTTTTTTTATACCTATTATTTTAAATTATAACCCTCTTTATTATTAAACCTACCTAAACTTTATTTTAAAAGGTACTTATTATATTATTTACATTTTAAGAGATATATAAAGAATATATTACCTTGTTTTTAACTCCTAATTCCCTTTGCAGATCTTATACAGTCTTTTCTAGCACACGTCCTTTTCGGATTAGGCAAACCAAATGCAACGGTATTTTTTAGGGGGTGGCGGGGCGGATGGGCCCGCCGCAGCCACTCGTAGTTAGAGTAAAAATAGCTCTCCAACAACATCTGCTCGGTTAGCTCAGTTGGTTAGAGCGTCGTACTAATATTATGTGCTTATGGGCATAACATTGGTAATGCGAAGGTCATGAGTTCGACCCTCATACTGAGCATCGTTCAACTTGGAACCGATCCTTTTTTTGACCCTTTTTTCTTCAAATCTCTTTTCTCATATGTGGGCTGTGTAGCATCTCCCGGGTGATTGCGCCTATGGTCGAGAAAGACCAAGAGAAGGAGAGAAGCGGATATGGTTGCGAAGTCAGCTCTTTTTTCTTTTTGATCTATGGACTGTACGAGTACGTGTTGAAGAAATACCTGGCTTTGCAATATCAATACCTGTATCCCTAGTTTCAGAAGACAGTCACGCAGTCTAGAAAATACGCTGTATGATGTTTCCGATAGTGACAGGTAGGGAACAGTCACATACGCACCTACCCGTCGGGCCCTCGGCCGCCGACGAAGCCCTGAACGCCCCCAGTCGACTTGCCGCACCCACACTTGACAGCTCTGGTTACAACTTATGGATCCCGTTGGTGCAAGTACCTAGTAAGAAAAAACAACCCGATACACCCTGGGTAGGGAGATGGCCTCGGGGATCGCCCAACTGGTCCGATATATAAAGACCTGGCGGTACCCAAGCCTTGGTTAACGCAAAACTCCAAAACCGGAAGAGCCAACTTTTTCTGGCCTACTTGAAGCCGTCTTTCTACCCCCCTCCGGTGACAGCACGCTTAAACTAAGACGATGACGAGATCATTGATTGTCATACTCGGATTCCTCGGCCTAGTTGCGGCCCAATCTGGCGCGGCATCTGTAAGTATCGTCCAGGTCAGACGACCACGCGCAGAACCAAGGTAGCTATGATTAACTTCTAACTGATTTCTTACATACAAGTGCGAGGCCCTAGTGCAAGCGGGTCTCGGCGACCGTGTGATATTACCTAGTGACGCGGGCTACGAGGCTGAGGTCAACTCGTGGTGGGCAAAGAATGGTCGTCAGAGGGCCGAGTGTTTCGTCTTGCCTCGCACCAGCCACGAGGTTTCCGCTGTGTTGGAGATTCTGGCCACAGGAGCGTGCCAGTCAGACGGGGAAATCGCCGTGCGCAGTGGCGGGCATAGTTCGACGGGTTCCAGCAGTACCATCAACGGTATAACCGTCGACCTGACTCGCTTGAACTCGACAAGTTACGACCGCGAAAGCAACATTGCCAGCGTCGGTCCCGGTGGGCGCTGGCAGGACGTGTATGCCGAACTCGTACCCCACGGAGTTACTGTAGCAGGCGGCCGCGATGGTGACGTCGGCGTCGGTGGCTTCCTCTTGGGTGGGGGGAACTCATACTACTCTGGAAAGTTGGGCTTCGGCTGCGATACGGTGGTCAACTTCGAGGTTGTCTTGGCGAATGGGACCATCGTCAGTGCGAACCGCACAGCAAACGCCGATCTATGGCAGGCTCTCAAGGGCGGAAGTAACAACTTCGGTATCGTAACCCGGTTTGATATGGATGCCGCCCCAGCGCCGAAACTATATAGAGACGCTCGTTTTTTCGCCGCCAACTACTCGGATGCGTTAGTCGATGCAGTTGTTGGGTTTGCTGATTCGGACGAGTCCATCGCCGACGATGCGTTCTTCGTCTTCTTCAGTCACGACCCAACAGACCTTCCCGGGGTAGATACCTTCGCCGCAAGCGTGTACGTCAACACGCAGGGCCTCACAAACAGCCGCACGCCCTTCAACAAGGTAGCAGCGCTCCCAGCACTATACAACAACACGGCCATCCAGACCATGGCAAGTGCAGCCGCCGAGTCCAAAGTCCGATCAGGCACGTGGTAAGTCGTCACAAGTCACGTACGGCGATGTGGGGGGGCAACAGAGGGGCTGACCTATGGTGATTACCTATATCCCATTTAGGAATTACGGCCTTACGTTGACGTTCAACAACGACGCTCGGGTCGCCCGGCACGCCGTGACCTTGCATAGCGAACTAGTCGACTCCTTGAAGAGAATCATGGCGCCCGAAGACTTCTTCACACAGATGTTCCTGCAACCTCTCCCTTCGTATCGATGGCCCATCGGGAAAAAGCGAGGGGGCAACGTTCTCGGACTCGACCACCTCCGTAACAGCGCGCTTTTATACACCGCGGGTGTCGGCGTCCTTGCTGACGATGCGCCTCGCCGCAAGGCTGACCATCTCTTGAATGCGATGGGCGCCCAATTGTCTGACTTTGCCAAGTCTGTCGGTGGGGATATGGCGTTCATATATCTGAACTACGCTGGTTCGGAGCAGGATCCTCTGTCTACCTACGGTGTTTCGAACGTCAAACTGATGAAAGAAGTCGCCGCCAAGTACGATCCCGCAGGTGTGTTCCAGAAACGTGTTGCCGGGGGTTACAAGATTTCCCATGTCGAATAACAACAGAGGTTTTTTATTGGACTGGATCCGGCCTGGTTTTTACGAGTCCATATGGGCAGAGCCCTTGCAAAGCCCATACTTTTTTGCAGTTTGGAGTTCTGTCATTTCCTGGGTAGTTATTTACTTTTATTACTTGTAAAGTTGTACTCGTAGACACACCTACCCGTAAGTTTAGGTTAGGTACTTTAGTCTATCTGTTCGATTCCCATGTTAGGTATATCCAGGCATTCTACAAGTACGAGCAGGTACGATATTGTGCTATTTACGGTTTACCTCACATAGGATTTAACAAGGTATCTCCATGTGTGTACCTAATTACATACCTAGGTAGTGTTATAGATGCCTATTCTATACGCGCAGGTGTTGGGGTGTATAGTAGGGATTAGGTACCAGATCAAATGTCCTCCGGGACAATCCAAGTCAATCAAACCACTTGGCACACAGGTAAGTAAGTATATATCTCTCTCTGCCTACCATATCGTTCTGGTGCTGGATCCTGGCCGTGCTTGGTTGGGTAAGTACCTGGTATACTTGACGCTTCCAAGGTTGTTGTTACAAGCCGCAGCTGCCCTCAGTGTGATGGTAAGTAGGTATACGGTATACCTTAGGTAACTACCATTTGGCTTCTTCCTTTTCTTATTTTCTCATTTTCTCGGAAAAGAAAAACTACGAAGAGACGAAAGGAGACGCTCCATCCAACCCCCCCCCCCCCCCGCCCTCTCCCAGGATGTACAACCAGGTACGGTCTACCTAGTCTACCAAACGCCGGGACAATGTCAGCGGGACAATGTCAGCCGCCCTGCGACCGGAGGCCGAGGGACCCGCCACCAAAACAAAGGCATCCCGATGCGTCGTAGTGCGGTATAGAACGATCCGATACTGCGTCTGCCCCCTATTACTCATATGTATTGAGGTAATTATATTAACCTAGTAATATATTACTCTTTTACGCCGGCTTCCATTACGGCATTCGTGTTTCACCCCTTTCTAGCGCCTGTCTGGCGAAACCCAACATGAACGAGATAGGGTCCAATATGTCCTCGGAGCGGAGACCTGCGGTAAGGAAACTCAGAATTCCTCAACTAACAGCTCCTGGCCTGGGTCCTTCTGAAGTCTCGGCCTAATTGCCGCATCGCTCCAAGAACAAACGATAGTGCTAACGTCGGGATGGTAACGTGGGTCACTATAGTGCGATAACTGTAGGACACGCAAGGTATGCTCCGAAGTCCGAACCCTGATGGACCACTGCATCGTTGCCAAGGTCTTCCTCTATGGGCTGGGCGAGTTGGGGAGCTAATTGGGGTCTCTGAGCGATGTGTGTAGACGCGTTGCGACCGAAGATCCCCGTGCGCTAGTTGTGCCACTCTCGGTGTTGCGTGCCGGGTGACTGGGCGGTCCGGTGAGAAGAGACAGCGGGTGCTCCTGTCGTCCAAGTATGAGGAAGCCGTGCAAGACGTCGGCCGTCAACTAGCCGAGGTGAAGGGAATGCTAGAAAGTCTCACTTCGAACCGAGACGCCGCAGTGTCACTGGCCCCTCCGAAGACGGTCTCTGGAGATGGGCGTGCGTATACACCTCAGTCCATGATCGATGAGCAGCTGCCTACTCTTGAAGGCGTGCAAGAAGGATACCATGGCGACTCTTCATTCATATCCCACGCCCATCAGATCAGAACAACGTTAGAGCATACGCTGTTACCATCTGACCTCGAGTTCTCCCCCCCGTCTCTGCCGAAAAGCAAAGATCAGGATCGGGACACAGGCACCACCACCACCTCCGTGAACCCCGCCGTGAGACCAGTCGGTATTGAGGCTATGGATATGCCTCTGCCGCCAAACGACGTGGTCCTCAAGCTGCTGCGCCTATTGAAATCCGAGGAGCAGCGCTTCTTCATAGATATGCCTCTTTTCGAACGAGACGAGTTCATCGACATGTGCCGTGACATCTACTTCGCTACCGAACCGATCTCACTTTGGACATGGATATCCGTCAACGTCGGCCTCTACAACTTGTTCATCGGCGTCCGGGAAGAGAGTGTTTGGCGGTTGGGCACGACTGGCGAAGCGTTGCGAGCCTATACCGCCATCCTGAAGTCCAATAGCGAGGCCTCCATGCAGAGTCTCCGAATGTGTTCCGAGCCATCGGGCGAATACTGTCGTGCTCTCGCGGTCCTTGTAAGTATGAATGCGAATAACCTCGGCCGCTCCGACGTTGTAATAATTCAACTGCCAGGCAAATTTCTATGTCAGGCAAGGCCACAGCACCATCGCCTGGAGGCTCATCAGTGGTGCTGCAAGGGGGGCTCTTGATCTCGGTCTACATAGGCTACCGAGCGATACTAACACGACCTCTGTCCCTAAGGACATCGGGATTTTCTGGCATATATATACGTGGGAAAGGGGTTTGGCTATGACATGTGGGAAATCCCCCACGATACGCCATTCAGATGTTACAAGTGGACTTCATTTGCTGGCCTGGCCCCGAGACACATCATGCCAGCAAAACATGTCAGCCTATACTGCCTTTCGCAACTAGCCGGGAAAGGCTCTTGCTGATGGCTTTGTTCAGATTATACAGTGCGTTCGTAGACATGGCCGTGGCCATGGGCGAAATCCAAGAATGCCTGTTCTCGGTTGTCGCCCAACAGTCGTCCCAACATACGAGAGTACAACATGCCAAGAGGCTTGCCTCCTGTCTTGCAGATA